TATGATTGTGCAGCTACCCATCCAGGCTGTCACATTGTAAAGTTTGCAGATGATACAGCGGTGGTGGGATGCATCACAAACAATGATGAGTCCAGCTACAGGCAAGAGGTGGAACACCTGGAGAGCTGGTGCAGAGAGAATAACCTTCACATCAATGTGAAGAAGACAAAGGAGATGATTGTGGACTTCAGAAGGAACAAAAACACCTACACCCCCCTGAACATAAGAGGATCTGCGGTGGAAGTGGTCTCCAGCTACAAGTACTTGGGTGTACACATGAATGACAACCTCAGCTGGAGCAACAACACTACCAGCCTGATCAAGAAAGCTCATCAGAGACTCTACTTCCTCAGACGGCTGAGGCGAGCTGGTCTGGGAAGCTCAGTCCTCACCTCCTTCTACAGGTGTGCAGTGGAGAGCATCCTGTGCTCGAGCATCAATGTGTGGCATGGAGGCTGCACAGCTGCAGAAAGAAAAGCTTTGCAGAGAGTGGTGAAGGCTGCACAGAAATCTGTTGGAATCAGTCTCCCCACCATCACAGACATCTACACCTCCAGATGCAGGAAGAGGGCCACCTGCATCATGAAGGACCCCACCCACCCAGCACACACACTTTTTGCCCCACTCCCCTCAGGAAGGAGGTTAAGGAGCATTAAGTGTAGAACCACTAGACTGAGGAACAGCTTCTACCCTGAGTCTGTTAGACTCATGAATCTCTAACTAGAATAATCACTGTGAAAAATCACATCATGTTGCTGCTGATCTGTTTCATGTTGCTGCTGATCTGTTTCATGTTGCTGCTGATCTGTTTCAATGTTGATGTGTTCATGTGTGCACATCTGCTCACACAGACTCATGTTCATGTTTGTGCTGATGTTCAATGTTTTATGTTATGAGTGCTTAGTGTATGTTGATGAGTTGATGTTTTTCTTAGTTCATATCTTAGATGTTATTACTGTTTTTCTTATACATTTTATTGTTGGATGTAACTGGGACCTTGTGTACATAATTTCGCTCCACCACATGTACCACATGAGGTGCGAATGACAATAAAGAAACTCTGACTCTGACTCTGACTCTGACAAACAAGAGTTAGAGCCCATCCCTCCACCCGAAGTTGCAGGGAAGCCACCCTCCCATCCACCGAGGAAAACTCCAACACACAGGCACCAAGTCAGGGGGCTACAAGTAGACCCACACCAGCTCGGCACCTCTCACCATGGGTAACTCCAGAGTGGAATAAGGTCCAGCCCCTTACAAGGTTATTGGTTCTGTAGCCCATGCTGTGTGTTGAGGTGGGTCCAGCTATATCTAGTTGATAACTCTCAACCTCACACAAAAGCTCAGGCTCTTCCCCACCAGAAAGATTACATTCCATGTTCCAAGAGCCAGCTTTGGTAAGCCTGAGTCAGAGTGCCAAGGCCCCCACCTTTGGCCACTGCCCATGGGGTCATGTGTATGTCCCCTCCTGCAGGTGGTGGACCCACAGGAAGGCAAACCCTTGTTGCTTGGGCTGAGCCCGACTGGGCCCCATGGGTAGAGATCCAGTCTGCAGGTGTTCACCGACAAGACCTTCTCCCAGGCCTGGCTCCAGGGTGGGGCCCCAGTAGATAGATAGATAGATAGATAGATAGATAGATAGATAGATAGATAGATAGATAGATAGATAGATAGATAGATAGATAGAGAGAGAGAGAGAGAGAGAGAGAGAGAGAGAGAGAGAGAGAGAGAGAGGTAGCAATTATTCTAATAACAGGGATAACCTGATATCACCAGCATATTCTAATAACACTCTTAAATAAGGAGATGAGAGAGCAATCTTTAAGTTTGTTTCTCTTTGCAAAGGAACTCAGTCAAAATACCAACATGAAAGAGTCAGCCCCTGAGTGAGTTAAGGAAGTCTCAGACTCCTCTGTATTTATGAACACTGATTACACGTCTGTCGTCTACACGGTCTCATGTGTATCTCATGGAAAAATACAGTAACGCTGTCTGACCTGGAAGCAGCTGATGTCTGCTGAACTCATAGCACAGACGAGCAGAAACCGTTCATCAGAAGCTTCATAATGACAGAAATGACAAATATTAACAAATATTAATTTTTCCCTTCACAATAGATAGATAGACAGACAAACAGATACTTTATTAATGGGGGTTGGGGGGGGGGCATTCGAGGCTTCCAGTACCATTAGCTAATTATACAAATGGTTCATTTATTATTTATTATTATGGTTCAAATTGAACCTGAATTGATCCAAAAAACACAACAGTGTATTTATCAAACACAAATGAAGTCAGAATGAAAAGGTTCTGCGCGTTGCTGCTTCTCTCACATTATTCTGAAGGAAATTTGGTCCACTCCTCTTTACAGCTTGGCTTTAGTATGATGAGGTTTGCAAACATTGTTTTTGTGCAGTACACATTAGGTTCCACCACATCATTTTGATCAGGTGGAGAACTGAATTTTAACAAGACCATCGCAACATCTTGATTCTTTGTCTTTTTTTTTTTTTTTTTTTGTCATTCTGTTGTAAATGTGTTGCTTTGTTTGGGCTCATTGTTCTGTCGCACCATGACTCAGTTAGGTGCACACTTCAGCTATTAGACAGATGCCCTCACATTTTACTCTGAAATCTTTGGGTCTGCAGAGACGTGCAAGGTCTACTTAACGACTGCAAGGGGCCCGCGGAGAACAGGCCCAAATCATCAACCTTCCACCACCGTGTTTAATGCTTGGCATGAGGTGTTCCTGCTAATGCTGTGTTTAGTTTTTGCAAAACATTTCACTGGGCATCATGGGTAATCATTTCCATCCTCACCTGACAACACTTGCATTATTACAAGCCACGCGTGTGCTGGACTTTAGACAACTGAGCATCAGTGAAATTCAAATGAAGTAATATATTGTTTATTTGCTTATGATAAAAAATGACTGCACGTCACATGATCTCCTTTCTAGCTACCTGGGCTCTAAATACAAAATCCAAAGTTTTAAAGAATGAAAATACAAATATATTTCAAACATTTAACTGCATCGTGTTTTAATAGGTTAAAAATGTTCATTGGTCACGAATGTTTGGCACAATCTATTCTTATCCTTTCTTTACAATATTTCTTATATTTATTACTAATATTAAATACATTTGGAAAAAAGCATCCATGAACAGTATCGAAACAGGATGAGACTGATTCTTACAATCGACTTTCTCCTTTTAACAAAGTCTGAGTTTCACAAAATAAATCTTAAGATCTTTGGCATTAATATTATTTAAGATTTGCTATTTTGTTAAATTAATCAATCAGTTCAGTTGGAACCAAACGAAGCGAGCTGGTAACTCGAAAAGATTTTAATTGTTTGAGCTGAGAGAGAAACTGGGAAAACCGGAACTAATATTGCCTTCAAATTAAAAGAGCAACATTTAGCCCGCAATTTTTTTTTTTTTTTTTTTTTTTTTTTTAATAGAGGAGCTGCTTCTGGACACTTTTAGGTAATATTCATAAGTTTGATCTGATTTGAAACCCCTTAATTACTACAAATCAAGGCTAGTCAGGTCAGCCATTCTACTGTGCGTGTTTGATTGTAGGTGATTGTTGGATTCAAGTGTTTGAAAAACTTTCAGCAAATCAAACTGAAGGGGGGGGGGGGGTGTCATATAGATGTCTATTTATAAACAGTCTTGGTCGTTAGTATCATTTTGATTAGTATTCATGTTTTTATGTAGGGAGTTTTATTTTGAAAATATGACCGGATTCTTCTTGTTAACCCTGGTGGGCTTGACTCTGGTGACAAAATGATGCGCGCGCCGCGGCAGCAGCTGCTCCCTCTGACAATCCAAAGGGGAGAGCGCGCCTGACGGACCTGTGTGTATAATTTACAACATTATCTGGAGAGAAAATGTTCATATGCAATTAATATTCCGGCTGATAAAATGGGAACCGTCTCTTCCTCCAACCTCGGCTCTACTTTAAAGTGGAGCGGGGTCTTTGAACGCCTCACCGCCGGACCTGTCCGCTGTCTGTGCGCGTTCTGCCACAGCTCTGCCATGATTTAGGCTTTCTCTGGAAGCTATGGGCGCGCACATCCCGGAGTCCAACTCCAGCGGCAACCTGACGCCTGCCGTGTCCGAGGCTGCAGCTGTGCTGCCGGGCTACCTGCTGGTCCTCCTGTCGGTCCTCATGGTGGCTCTGGTGATCGTCGTGGTGGCCGGGAACGCGCTGGTCATCATGGCTTTTATTGTGGATAAAACCCTGAGAACTCAAAGCAACTACTTCTTTCTGAACCTTGCCATTTCGGATTTTCTTGTGGGTAAGTTGGGGCTCCCGTTCCCTATAATCCAGTTTTTTATTTGATCCCCATGCGCGCTTTTTACGCACGGTCACCCCGCTCTGTATTTTGTCCAGGTTGTTTCATTCAGCCTTTATTTATACTGGTTAGTTTCCATTGAGCCTCAAGAACTCATTTGTCTTGGTTTGGTCTGGATGTATTTTTGATTCCAAGTGTGCGTAATTTAATCCTCCTTGACATCTGGTAATCTGCTGCGTCTAATCGAGTGTTCTCCTAAAACGTCTTTTTTAGTAACATGCAGGGGTCAGTCATTTATTTGTCACACCAGACTGTGAGGAGGTGTGAATGATAATGATAGGACGTGTTGATTCATCATGCTGTGTGTTTGTGTGTGTGCGCGTGCGATGTGTTCCAGGTGCGTTCTGCATCCCGGTGTACATCCCCTACAACCTGACAGGCAGGTGGATGCTGGGGAAGGGGCTCTGCAAAGTGTGGCTGGTCATGGACTACCTGCTGTGCTCCGCCTCGGTCTTCAACATCGTCCTCATTAGTTATGACCGCTTCCTGTCAGTGACGAGGGCGGTAAGTGGACCAGAACCACCAGAACAACCAGAACCACCCAGTTCATCTGGTTTCAAACGAGCAGAGCTCAGTGCTGCTGGCTGTAATTCATTCATTCATTCCTGTCCATCTTACAGGGAAACATCAGCACTGGAACCAAACTGCTGCTGCAAAACAGACCTTTTAAAACATCTTCTAATTTATCAAATGACCATTGGAAGTTTGTCTTCTTCTGAAACTTGGCATCAAAGTATGTGCAACCAAAAATATGGATGCCCAAACATTTGTAGTGATTAATATGAGACAAATGTGGAATAAGTTTTTATCTTGTGGACGAGTTTCAAACACATTTCTACAAATAGATCCCAAACAGAACAAAGACTAAGTGTTCAATCATTTTGTAATTTTCTTAATAAACAAAAAGACTCCTGCTAAAAACAACTCGGCCTATTAAACACAAGCAGAAAGGTTAGGTTCCAAAACCACACAAGGTTGTGCAGAAGATGTTTCACATAGAACGAGCACTCATGTAACATGTTTCACATGTGAAAAGAACTCATTTACACATGAACAGTTCAAGTGGTTTTTGTGTAATGGTTCCCATTTTAGACATCTGGTAGAATTCATTTTATGTACCAGCTATGGGGAGTGGTGGCGCAGAGGTTGTACAGAAGGTGAGCCTGTGGTTGGAAGGTCGCCGGTTCAATTCCCCGGACCAACACCTTCAAAATGTGGCAGAGAATGGCACCTGCCTCCACTGTCATTTGCACTAACCCTGGCCCTTGAGCAAGGCTCTTAACCCCCACCATCTGCTCCCCCGGGCACCCTGGATAGCAGCTCTCGGCTCCACACAGAGGCTGTGGTAGCTCGGTGGTTGTGTCAGGAAGAACATCTGGCGTAAAAACAATTGCCAATCTTCATGTGAGTGAGTTCACTGTGGCGACCCCTGAAGAAGGAGCAGCTGAAAGAAGAAAGAAAAGATGTACCAGCTGAAAAGGCAGTTTGCTGTGCCTTTATTTACCCATTGGGTGTAATTACAGTAGTTGTTTTGGATTTTTGTGTCAACTGAAAGTTACATTATATCCAGGTAATACATTATGTCCTAATAAAACTTTAAGTGATGCTCACAGCGTGTTTGTTGTGCGACAGTGAAATCAATGTGTCGTCGTGAGGATTTAATTAATTGTAGGGCATGGTTAAAACCACGCAGCCTAAAAATGAGTTTCAGTTCCTTCAGGTACATTCAACTCATTCAATAACTCAGATGATGTCATATTTGTGTAACATGGTGCATTCTGGGTTTAGAAGGTTTTTAGCATCCTTTTTGTGGAGAGTGTGGAGGAAGCAGCAGAGGCAGCCAGTGTGTGTTGGAGTAACCAGTTGCAGCAGATAATTCAAACCAAAGAGTGTTTCTCTCTCGTCTGTTCATTTTCTGGATCATTTTTTGTCTCTGCTTTTTACGAGCTGCCTAAATGAACTGAAGTCAAAAACCTTCTTAAGAAGGTCTCAAAATCAAGAAAACTGCTTCACATCTAATCAGGTCATAAAAACAGTTTGAGTTATTCCATGTGAGTATTTTTGTACGCTCACAATCTGTTGATTTTAATTTACTGTAGACTTCATCCCCTCGTTCCAGATGAACCATTTCACTGTGCTGCTTCCTAACAGGACCTTTTTGATCAGGACCTTTTTGATCAGGACCTTTTTGATCAGGACCTTTATGATCTTGTTGTGACTGACGCTTCTCGATGGTCAGAGATCTCTTTTACTCTTCTTTTCCAATCTGCAGAGAGCACCCGATCACTTTCATTTACAGCCTGAGTGCCTTCGATTTAGAGAGCACTCGAGATTGAGGCCAGCTCCAATTACCATAGCAGTCCGGGTTTTCTTCTTCTCTTTGACATGGTCTCCACACATTAGCAGCATCAGAGAAACACCCAGCAAAGAACATGAGAAACAAAAGAGCGAGCGGCAGCTAGAGGAACTTCTCAATGAGTGTGAGGAGGTGAAGTCTAAATGCAGCGAGCAGATGTCTCTTTGAGAGCCGTGCCGCAGCACAGAATGTGGCTCTCAGCCCAACATTCCCCTGCTCTCTTTGCTTCGGTGACACACTGTGGAGTGACTGCGTCATGAGTGGGTTTTATGCTGCAGTTCTGATACGACACAATGAGGGCTTCGTTCTGAGCAGAGCTCGCTGTGTTCGAGCAGCTGTGCCCGTTTGAGACGCCACGAGCAGGAAAGCAGAGTTTCTGTTCAAAGGCACTGATGTGTGTCTCTTTTTGTTTCAGGTGAAATACAGAGCTCAAAGGAACATCACCCAGCAAGCTGTGTTGAAGATGGGGGCAGTGTGGGTGCTGGCCTTCCTCCTCTACGGTCCCGCCATCATCTTCTGGGAAGTGATTGTGGGCCAGAGCATTGTCCCGGCCCACGAATGCTATGCAGAGTTTTATTTCACCTGGTACTTCCTGCTCAGCGCTTCTACCTTTGAGTTCTTCACTCCGTTTGTGTCTGTGGCCTTCTTTAACCTCAGCATTTACCTGAACATCCACCGGAGGAACAAGAACGGGAACATGTGTGCCGAGGAGGACATCAAGCCAAGGAGGAAGTCGAAGAAGCACAAGGACGGCGTGGGCTGGTCTGTGTTTTTCGTCAAGACCCGGAAAGTGACGTCCAGCGAGCCCGCTGCCATCTCCGCAGTTATAGAGGACGATGACATTCTGTCGCCCTCCTCCAGCGGGTGCCCTGACACCAGTCAGATCTTTGTACAGCGAGAAAAACTCTCTCCGCGCCGAAAAAACTCTCGGCTGTTTCAGCCAACGGCTTCCTGCGTCATGGCTCCCGGCCGGAGGACTGCGGTGTCCCGCCTCTCCAGAGACAAAAAGATAGCCAAATCCTTGGCCATCATCGTGTGCATCTTTGGAATATGCTGGGCTCCCTACACTCTGCTGATGATCATCCGTGCAGCCTGTGGCGGGGAGTGTGTGGCCGACTATTGGTACGAGATTACATTTTGGCTTCTGTGGCTGAACTCGGCCATCAACCCGTTCTTGTACCCTCTGTGCCACAGCAGCTTCCGTAGGGCTTTCTCCAAGATACTTTGTCCTAAAAGACAGTCGGTGCAGCCTCAAATTGAGGCTCAGTCCTGCTAGACAAACTCTGTTGCACAGCCATAATTTATAAATGCAGTAAACTTTGATGGTCGTATACTGTAAAAAAAAATCTACATAATGTTCTTCCATAAATAAAAAAATAGAAGAAATGTTTGTTTTTACATGAGACGTGTTAGAACAAATACAACAGCAATACAACGATGCAAAACACAGAGATGTTCTTTAATGGTGATATCAGTGGTGAAGCAGACTCCCACTGCATCAGTGTTAGTAGAAACTAATGCTCTTGATTAAAGTGGCCCCAAGAGCCGGCGCCAGAGTTTCAAACTGAGGCCCCGTTTACACGACGTGAGACGTTCGGCTGTTCATTTACAAACAACCGCCCTCGTTCTGTCTGAAACCCAAGGTTTCTGAATCCAGGTCTCAGAGTGGAGATTTTCAGGGCCACCCCCCACAGGCCAAAGACATGCATGTTATGCCCCTTTTCCATTAGTACCTGTAGTACCGGTACAGCACGGCTCTACTCTACTTGGTACAGTTAGGGTTAGGGTTAGTCTGCCTTCAGGGCAGGCCCAGGCCGCCCTTTCAAAAGAGATTTGTGATCCCAGTGGGTTTGCCTGGTTAAATAAATGTTAATAAATTAAAATAAATAAGTAAATAAATAGGTATGAAATGGTCTGCAAGTGTGAAGTTGCACCTACGCTCTACAGGCGGCTGCAGTCCAAAGTTTTTCTGCTCTAACAACAGTTATAATAAATGGCAGAGTATTTTTGTGCTGCTCGCCCTTTTTCAGCATGTAGGAGCAAAACTAAAAAAATCCAGTATCCAAAGAGACATTGGTGCATTCACCAGTTTGGATGTAACTGCCATGCAGACACTGCATGCACGATTAGGGTTGCCAGATAAATTTAAAATGTCTTATTTACACCCTCCTTTTCTGTGCACATGCTCAACAAACACAACACACACCTCATCTTAGAATATCTTTACTCAGCACATATGACATTTTAGGTCAAAATACTATCATTTTAAAACCACGGTACTATAGTTCATCATTTCTTACCTGGCAACCCGACTGGCATGGAAACAATAGCGTTTTGTATAAACCCGCTCTTTGGGACCTGAAAGTCCCAGGTTCGATTCCCAGCCATTCTCACATGTCGTGGTGTCTCTGAGCAAGACACACTATCCCCAGTTGCTCCCCGGGTGCTTACATAGCTGCCCACTGCTCCACCTGGGTGTATGTCAGGTGTGATGGGTTAAATGCAGAGACTAATTTTGCCATTGTATGGCAACATACATGAAGACAACACACATCTCTTATTATTATTATTGTTTGTTTATTACTCCCAATAAACATAGAAAAAACACTAATGTTTCCAGAGGTTGTTCTCGTGTAAACGGGGCCTAAAAACATGTAAACCTTAAAAGATGCAGTTTAGACTTTCAGATGTTAATGTGCTCAAGCTGTGAGGTGATGAATTATGTAGCTAAATTGTCACTGATGACCATAATTTAGTCCAAGTTATTGTATTAGGCCTGCTGTACAGCACAGAAAAAAAACTACATTATTGTTCTGAGTGGGAGCAGAGGAGGAAATGGATTTTGACAATATCAAGTTTTCTTTCCTTTTTAAAATAAAAGCAGTCATGACAAAAAACCTTTTAGGTTCTATTTGCATAACACTGATTTAAAAATAAGGATGTAATAATGTTTTCAGACCCCCCCACACACACAAAGCCCCATGAAATCCTTTCAAAAACAGCTTCTAATGTGAAAAACAAGAGATTTCCTTGCGTTTGCCTTAGATTCGTGCTTTTCATCATGCAGCAGCAGAATTACTAACGCTAAGTCAAACTTCAAAGCACAAGAGACGAGGACGTGGCAGCTGGCTGTCATTTTGCTTTTTACACGGACACTTTACAGTTTTGTGCTGCCTACACGCAGTTTTTTTAAAATGTGCTCATGCTGATGACGTCTGTGAAATGAAACAAAAGTCAAACAGCTGATCAGTCAGGTCTCAGGCCAGCTGATTGTATTCAACATTTCAGTTCTTATCTAAGACTTCATTTCAGAAATGTAAAAAATGTTTTGTTTTGCAGGTGAAAAAATATATATAATGGTAATATAATTATGATTTTTTTCAGCTCATTTAAAATAATTGTGTAAATAATCAATTTGATTGTTATTCACACTGGTTCGTAATTTGATTTTGTTTTGACAGTGAATGCCATCTGGTTGCATTTTGTTGTCATATTAGTCAATTAAATGTTCTATTATTTATTGTGGAAAAATCTAAAATATTTTAGGCATATAGTGTTTGAGACTGGATCTATCCAGTGCTCCGAAGTGGCCTTAATCAGGTGAAGGTTCAGCTGATTACAGTTTAATCACTGAAGCATTTTCATGCAACCAGGTGGCACCAAAATGACTGACGTGGACATTTTTAAAAAGGCTTACATGTAAAACAAGCATTGTTATTAGTTTCAGTTCATGTCAGTAAATGAACTTCAGTTCATTTATTTTTGTTAGCTCAAATTCTAAATTAAAGTCACACTTGACTAATTTTCAGAGAAAATAACTAATATTCAAATCCAATAAAATACAGTTGTGTTGAATTCAGTAGCAGCAGAAATTTTTTAAAAAGTATACATATATATATATATATATAATTATATGTGTATATTTTTAAAATATTATATATATATATTAAAAAATATATGTATATATGTATATATATATGTA